GTGCGCGCCTCTGGCTATGACCGCGCATTCTCGTGCGAGCTCAGTACCTCGAACCAAGTTTCCAATTTTTTGAGGTCTGTGATTTGCTCGCTGGGGAGCCCGTCGCCTATGGGCAGCCCCTGATTTCCGAACGGACAATCCCATCCCGTTTATTCCCACCAGTGTTATATTCTCCGGCGAAGAAGCTTCTGCAATATAGGACCGGCCCAGAATCACCGTGGAGAATCCGACCGAATCCGTAGATCATCCCGGTGGGGGCATAAGTTTCCGAGCGAACCTACGAAGGCTCGCTCTCACTCCCCTCTCCTCGAGCCCCATCATCTTCTGAGGGCACCCCTGCCCACTGTAAGAGCAATGTGAAGCTCTGTTCTTCTCCTCACCCTCAGGTCGACGATTCAGAGATAAAGCGAGGGCTCATTCTTCGCGAACCTCAGAGATTCCAGCTCTTTGACTGTATCGCATCACAAGCTCTCCCGAGTCAGCCAGAGAACCTGAGAAATCTCAAGTTAGGTGACTCGAGAACCGATTCTAAATTATGTCAGGTGAGTCTCCATTCCCGAAATGCTCATTCAGATATTTTTATTCAGATTATTAAGTATTCGAAACTCATGAGTTATGAGCAACGATGACGGTCGATTCAATCCGGTACACTTTCTCTCCATTCCAGACGGTCTCATTGTTTTCGGAGAGTCGAATCCGCATCAAGCCGATTCATTGCCTGAGAAGGGAGTAAGGATGTGTTCGCTTCCTACAGCATCTCAACCTGGTGGACCTTCAGCGACTGAAGGTCCAGACCGGATCCTACCGTTTCTCTACTTGGGTTCCCAGATCGATGCACAGGACTGCCAATCACTTCGGAGTCGAAATATCGCCTATGTCCTCAATGTGTCGGCAACATGTCCGAAAGCAAAGTCTATCTCGGAAACTCGGTTCATGCGAGTCCCGGTGGAGGACAGCCACACCGAAGATCTCGTGCAATACTTCGATAGAACATTCACTTTCTTGGACAAAGTTCGGGAGTCCAGCGGATGCGTTCTAGTCCACTGCTCGGCCGGAATCTCCCGCTCCCCGACAGTCGCGATAGCCTATATTATGAGGCACCTCAGATTGTCTTCTAACGACGCGTACAGGTGAGTCATCAGCCCTCCTTTCTCGTCAATGTCTTGTCTCAGGTCAGCCGGACTTGCGACTTGTGGCATTTTTCTGTGATTAGAAGAAATTCGTAATTCCCAGGTATGTGAAGTCCAAGAGATCGAGGATATCCCCGAATTTCAACTTTCTCGGACAGCTGCTCAAATACGAGAAGATGCTACAGAGCGTGAAAATTCTGGGAAACACGCCCGATATCTACTCTTCAGAGCCTGCGTTACCCTCGTTGCCCTGCTGGATGTCAGGCTTCATTAGCAGGACGAGGAACATTCCATTCGTGAGTCAGAAGAAACGGCGACTCCTGAAGCCAACGGTAACGCCGGATCAATTCACCCTCAGCCTTGAGCTGCCGAAGAGGTCTCTCGGAGTTTCAGAGACCACTAAAGTCGGAAATCTAGCGGGCGGAGGTGAGGATAGAGGACTTTTTCCTCATAGAAATCGAGAGGAATTCTGCGTCTTCAATTTATATCACAAGTCCCTGACGTATTCCCCGCTTGAGGCTGATCCATGATTCATTCTTGCAGTGATGTCAGCAACGACGGATTTCGCCGGAGGCCGAGAGAGCTCGTCGGCGACCGAAGCGAAGCGTCCTTTCACCGGCGGTCGATCCTTGAGCTTAGATTTCAAATGGCTCGCTCTTGACCAAGATGAGAATTCGGCGCCGCCCGGATCGGCAGATTCAGCCTCAGATCGACCCAACATGGGTGCCTCAGAAGGGAGTTCCTCAACGTCTCCGTTAGTTAAACGCAAGGACTGGAAAAAGCTCAGTAGAGAATCCTTGACACTCCACCTCGAGGCCGAGGACACCTCTTGGCCATCGTGGGGAATGAGTACCTGATGAATCTCCTCCCTGATAATCCTCAAGGCGGCCTGAGCTCGATCCGGCCCAACAAGAGAGCGGCGAAATGACGCCAACACGCCACTGGATTTGATCTTTGCTCACAGAGCTCGGTTTGAGGATGGACCCCGCTCAATGGACATGTCCCCGAGCAGCATTTTTCTAACCTTCAATAGTTTCGCGGAAGCTGAGTACCGCGAGCACACCCGTAGCGCACAATGCGAGGGTCGAGACTCGAAGCGATCATTAGTGTTCACCGGTTCTAGGAGAAATAATGAAATTAGCGTATCAAACAATAACATCCCGAGATGAATGATTCCGCATGATCAAGTACTCCGTCCGTCCCTCCCAATCATTCGTCCGTGAACTATCGTCACGATAGGTACATTTCGCGCCTCACAGTTCGATATAGTATCGGCGATTGAAATTCGCGTATGCGGATGAAACTGCGATCGCTGGTGGCTCATCAAATATTGGACGACCGGTCTTCTTCAACGATCCCGGATAATCTTCATATCGTTCTCCGCCCTCCTTGGAGATGATTGAACACTGATCGTTTCAAATGAGCTACTCGAAATATGTAGTCCTGATCTCGGCGCACTCAACCTCATGACTCATGACTGCTCCCGTACACTCCCACATGCGTTTCTGCTTACTGTGTCAGTATTTTTCACAATTCGTTCTCCGATTCTGAATTCGATAGGCATCACGGGTGATCGCTTCCTTTTCCATCGGGAGCAGCGGACTGATTTTGGGATGGAGCGGATCGTAGAATCGACGGACACCTTCGACCGAGTGGGAGCCCCAACCAGAAATGCGCCTCCTCCGATATCACGGATCTCATGATCCCGACTTGTTGCATTGAGTGGGCTGGGCTCGTTCCACCGGTCTCTATTCCATCAATCTCAGTTCGAGTTCAGACGTTTCCTAGCCTCCTCCATTCTGTGGGGGAGCGGTCGAATGTTGAGGCTATGCATTGTGCCTCCGATGTTCAGCATCGTAGGGAGGACTGTGTCAACGACTAGGCTTCCAGACATCAAGCAAGTTGTACACGTCCTCCCGGAATCCTATAAGGAACACGCGGGCGCTATGGGCTGCCCGAACGTCTCCGGCTTGAACGTGCGTGTCTACGGAATGTCTCCGGCATTTTCTTTCGACGATAAAGTATGCTCCCACATCAATGGCTCAGTGAAAATCAGCGTGAGGTGGATTCGCGCCCTCATGGATGGCCAATCCGGTAGGAATGTTCATATCATATCATGAATACTTGGTGAGCAGGTTAGAGGTTCGCCCAGGACGGTCTCGAGTACTCATCAGCTTCTTCCTCTCAATGAGTCATATTCAGGTCTTGTACATAAGAAAGCTCAAGAATGCATGATGTGGGAGTTTGCCACCAGCTCCGCGGGACTCGGCCGTTTTCCAGGGCTACTACTCCATCTCATGGTCTGACATCATTCTCAGAGCAGACAGACCTTTCAGAAATTGTCGTAGCGCCCATCTCCTCCAGATTCACGTGGATTCGAGGCTCTCTGAACTTATCGAACGCTGTCGATAAAGAGATGATTCCGCGAATCCAGCTCGACAAGTCGAAGTCTGCGCTAGTCAGGGAAGGTTCGGGTGACGGAATCGTGAGGTGTGTCCAGCAGAGGACTCGAAGCTTCTTCGTCGTTTCGAAAGGAGAGCTGGGGAAGATAAATGTACCTGCTTGACCTGCTCGAGCAAAAGAGGCTTAAGCGACCCTCGTTAGGAGAAGGAGGGCTAAGGAGCGATAAGAATCGTCTCGCGCGATCGTCCGGACGACCGGCGTCGGAACCAGATCGGTTCCAGCCGGATTCGCTACTCCCCACGATTTCGAACATGTAATCGGAATGGATCTGCGCAGGAGCCGATTCCGCTGGCAGGGCAGCACGGTGTGGCTCTCCGGATCGGATAACCCTTGTCCCAGGCTGCGATGACAGCTTCTCGGGATGCCTTCAGCGCTGCTGATATCCGCTGATAACCAATCCCCCGGACCGAGTTCCGAAACCGATGATCTCCTCTTTAATCAATTATATTTATATAATAGAGCCGCGAATACATATTGACTCAGAACTCTTCCCCATCGCGGATTATTGTCTTCATCGATCGCCATCGATATGTCTCCAGTGTCACGCTAGCTTCTCCAAGAATGATGAGTACCAAATAGGAACCGTATCTTCTCTCTGGTCGCAGGCGAACGGATTCGCTGTGCGCGACTTGTTGCTCGCTCGCACGCATCGAGTCTGAATCAAACACCACGTAAGCATCCGTGAAGCCGTTTCATGGTTCCCTTCCGGAAGAATGCCTTAGGCTTCTTTGAGAATCTTCTCATCTCATCCAGGCATCTCCCGAGCAGCTTACTCTCTCCATAGTGCTACATGGGTAGGTTGTACCGCCTCCTTGGCCCGCTCATGCTTGGCCTGCCTATGGGCCAAGGCCCATGTGCGTCACGCAGGATCACTTTTCTCCCGAAAGGAGGATTCGGTTCCCAAGCAGGTCTCTGTAGCTTCTGGAATTCTCGTGGAGAGCGGAGCGGGCCCTCGGATGTACATTCAAGCATCCCCAGTGCTGGAGTCTCGGCGCTTTCCTCCGTATATCGAGTCGGCAGCCAATGATATGGGGCATCGAGACGATGCGAGCGAGCAGGGCGATCTCTCCGTATGTCACTCGGGGGTACCTAACAGCAGGAAAACACGGTAGAGAAGGAGACGCTGAATACTCATGTATGTATTGTGTACCGGATCGAGAATGATTGCTTTGAATCGAGAAAATCCGAGCGAGCGAGCTTCGATTGCGGGAAGGATGCGAATATCGCTACGCGGAGTGAGGAGCCTAAGAATCATTGCCGATAAGCATCGACTACTCCGTCTCTCCAACGAATCTATCTCACAAGCCGATGCGCGTCGAAATAGAAATCACATCAATGCGGCACCCGCTCCAGGTTATCTCAATGCTCCAGGGACGAATAACATGGTTCCCAAATCGTAAAACCTGAGAACTCTTCCGTTATGTAGCATCAACAAGAATACCCGAGAGCGAGTGAGGCCTCGATCGCCCGGCCGCTCAAGTCTTGGTCCATCGGAGCGCGCCAACGCGGCAAAATGTCGAGCGCGATTCCGGCGATTATACTCGCCGTTGCGGTGTGTCAGTGCTACGGTGTCGAGTTTGGGGACGTTGCGAATATCGAAAGCGTTTTTAGAGGACTCCCGTCTCTTTACGAGGCTTGGCCCGGTGGGGACTCTTATACGTGCAATTTCATCGAGGATTCAGACAGGGTAGAAATTTTCGGCGTTTCGACGGCTCTTTCCCTCCGATCGGTGCCCAAATGTTCGCTGTGGAATGATTCGAAGCTCTGCAAAGCGAACCTCATGTTGCGGTGGGTACGCGCTCTCACGGGCGAAAAGCGAGGTAGGATATACATATGTACGACCGTACATATGCATCCTATGTTCCTATCATATTTCGAGTGGAGGATTGTGAGAGAAACTCACGGAATGAAGAAGCCAGGAGTGAAATCGAAGAGGACCTTCCTTCCAGAGGAGGTGTTTTTCTCGCCGATACTTCTCGCCCTGGATTGGGTGGTGAGGAAAGGCGAGACTCGCGTGGAGTTCAACCAAACCTTATTCCGATCGAGGGTGCTTGATCGCGTTGAGATCCATCGTGAGTCCTGGCCTGAGTTCAGAGACTGGAGAAGAGAGAACTTGAACGTGCGTACCGTGGACTGCGTTCGGGAGAAGATCTCGCATCTGTTCCTAGTCTTGGGAAGCATTCTCGCCGGGAAATGAAGAAATCCCCGAATGGAATGCACCAAGTCTGGCGTGAGCACACGAGGACGAGGTGGACCTCGAGGACGGCGCAGAGCCTGCCTCCAACCCTGAGGATCTTTTTAATCGTGATTTACCATTTACTTAGGTTTCACTCGAGGTTTGTGACTGTTTCTTTTGAAGAAACTCGCGAGAGGCATGGTAGATGTTCTGAGGAAGGTTCCCGAGCTAGAACGCTGGGTGATCATTGATCATAAAGTCCAGGCACACTCTGATCTTCTCCAATCTTAGAGTACCCTCCTGAAGAGCGAGAGAGAGAATATTTCGGGCGATTACGATGTAAAGTGCGATGCCTTGTCGCTGCCAAGGTCCCCCTGCCCGAACGAGGATCTCCAGGGCTTCCGAAAAGTATGCGGAGGAGGTAGAGAGCGGGAACGTCTCTCCGGCCTATATTTATCGCCACCAATCGGGGGTATGAACAGCTCGGAAACTTGGGGAAACATCGTATGAATGCAATGCCCGTCTCATCAGGAAAGATCAGGCAACAACCTCGCTCGTGCCTGAAGATTTCAATGTCGATATAAATATGTAATGTTTTAATTCGTTCCTTGAGTAAACTTCGTGCACTTTTGCCATTTCCTCCTACAGCCTGGATCAAAGGGGGTTCGACTGGGCCCCGTATAAGGCCGCGTACCGTCTCGGGAGCCAATCCGACGGGTCACAGACAGGTTCAATCATAGAACGAGAGCTGAAGGCACGTTCGGAGGATACTCTGCGTTGCGAAGGAAAAACATCTTGCGAGCTCTACTTTCTTACGTGGTTTCAGAGTGCGGCTGCGAGTGGTCGAGGCACGATCGTACTAGTCAGCCGCTCCATGTCTCGAACTCGAGCAAGTCGACGCGAGCTCTCTGGCTTCTCAACCAGAGAAAGCTGCAAGGTCCCTCTGCCCCTCGGTCCCCGAGTCCCCCTTCGATAAATGAAGTCATAAAATATTTCGAACTCTCCACTCGAGCCCATGATGCACATAGATCGTGGGAGATAGCGTCTGCAGTCGTCAAAATCAGAGCCCTGAATCTTATAACAAGTTGTTGGCGCCGATTCATACGCGCTCCGCCTCGGCGTATCAGGACCGGAGGCTTGAACGGAGACCTCAATGTCCGACTTCCGTGTCGATTCCGAACTCGATGCTCCTCTCTTTCCTCCCAGGAGTATTTCGCAGTCCTGATGGGGGAATTTGCCATATCTGATGCTCCTCCGGAGGGACTCGGTTCTTATGCGTCGATTGAATCCGGCACTACCGGACGTACTCGATTTCCTCAATCGAGCTGGATTTATTGTAGGGAATAACGCACGTTCCTATAAGAATTTAAGGACGCGCTGACCGCTTGGCTGTTCGTGGAGTAGATCGCTTGAATTTTACCTAATCGTCGTCCCCGACTCGCCGCTGGCCTGGATACGAGTCTAGCGCACTAGAGCTGCTCGTCGGAGCACGAAAGCTCTACGACTTTCGGGAATTGGGGGGTCATAGACATCCGTGCTCGGGGAGGAACCTCGAGAAATCTCCCGAGGGGTATTTTTTCTTAGCTGTTTCCAGGATTCCCGGGGCACGGTCGAGGTGACACCAAGAAATCGCACCCAATCACCATGGTCTTCTTTCCAAAAGATGAATGCTGAGGATAATTTTAATATCATGGACGGATAGGACCCCGAGAAGTTGTTAGCGCTTTGGGTTCATTCCAAGTACAAAGCACTTTTGGTCGATGGAATTCGGCGAGGAAAATTGGACCGTCCCAATCAGGTTTGTCCATCATGATGCCCACGACCGCTATATGCTCTGTGGGCCGTCTCCATTATTGATCTCATTGCGTTGAAGGGTGCATTGAGACTGTCAGCATAGGTTGCTATAATCTCACACAATAAGAATGAGTGTCGAATATACTGCAGGGAACATGGATCGCCGACATGCGACTAAGAATCCGAGACTAGGGAAACACACAAGTTCACCAAGGCTTGAGGTATGAACTGAATTCTTCGCCATCGAGCCGGGTCGCCGGAAATCTCTGTCCCCAATGAGTCGAGATGCCGGCGAAAGACTCCGACGGCTCGAGATCATCTCCATGGAAGCTCTCACTCAAGCATGAACCCCCAAAACGGACCCTCTGGACTCTGTACGACAAACCGGGAAGGTATCCGAGGAGATCAGCATGTGAGGCATTGATAGCCGAAATCCGGGAAAGCAGGTTAATGTCCGCACCGTCCCGTGATCAGTAGCACTCGAGCGATCTCTTGGCGAAGAAATCCGACAAAATTCCCTGAATCTCTCCCCCAGTAAAGAGTTCGTGAACAAGAGCCGTCTAGATGTGATCGCAGTTGATTCACGTTGGGAGTAGGCCGGGAGCAGATTTCTCAGAACACGATACGATCGATCAGAATGAAACTGCTGTGAGATCTGCTGGATCAATCGATTTTGTTGAGAGTTTTGATCACAGAACATAATTTATTCGGGAGCATACTGTCCATGCTGGGCTGCCCAGTCGGAATCTTCGAACGTAAGTCCATTCTACGTTTCTTCCGGAGCAGCACTTCTGCAACCCTCGAGATGACGATCCATAAAAATGGATTGATGGGTGAGTGATACGTTCGGCAAGCCGACCGCAATCTGCATGGCGGCATTCATTCTCCCGAGCGGAGAAAGAAAATCATACGGGCAGGAAATCGGTCACGGCATTTCAGTCCGCGACGGAATCCGTGACTTTTTCTAAGTGATCGAGTTGATGATTTGGGAGTTTGAATGTATCGCCTCCGAATTAATATCTCCCGGAAATCCCGCCTTGATTTTCTCCCGGTTGCGACCAAGGTCACGACGTAGACCGCGGAAATCAGGAAACAATTCTCGCTCGATCAGGTCTTTCCCCCTACGCTTTCTGAAAATAATCTGAACAACCGCCGGAGGTGAGAGCTGCCGCGATCGTGGCAGGAGCCTCGTCGCTACCTGCGGTGACCAAGTAGGAGAATTTTCTTTTCAATATTCTGAGTGCAGGCTATCATTGTCTTCTTTTTTGCTGCGGTCAAACCGCGTGCAAGTGCTTGGCTATTCGTCCGCCGAGGTATGTACCTAGCCGGCGGTGGTCAGCCGCCGCCATGCCTCACAATAGGCCTGCTGCTTTTTATCAGAGCTCCACCGATACGAGCGCCCCCTAGGCGAGCCATCCTAGGAACGCCATCGAAGCGAAAGGACCCGGGAGCCGAATACAGGAACACACTCCTGCCAAAGCAAGCTAAGCAAAAATGGCGATCCTCGCTTAGCATCGCGACTACACTGTGATCGAAATCCGAAATCTACGTGTTCTCTTGGTAGTGACGGTGACTCGTCACCGCATCCCGTAGAAATAGTACGGGAGTGACGGGGAGTGCGCGGGAGCCGGAGAACTTCGTCCCCCGGAAGAGCGCGACGTGTGTGATCCACGCGTGGCGCATTCCGGCACCCTTCCACAAATAGCCAAACATAGGAACAGGAGAGCTATTGCACGTGAACTAAATGAGCAGCACGCCTCCGACGATAATGGCCATCGGTACTTGAAGTGACTATCGTATGCATGTGAAGCCAGAGCTGGATTCGAACGCGAGAATGGGGCTGTGGCGGCGGTTACGAGCCGTCCTGGACCCCAAGTTGTTGATCCTGATTCTGTGCTGTCTGCCGCAGGAATCGACCGCTGACAGGAATCGTTATTGTGAGTATTCATTTTCTCGATGAAAATGGGAGGTCAGGGCGGGCGGGTGCAAGCCGGAACTCAGAACTCTCGAGAGATTGTCCGAGAAAGGCGGAAATCCGCGGAATCTCGTCACCGGGATGCTCTCGAGCGGCGTTCTGATGAACGGAAAACGAGAGCGGGAAAACTCCGGAAAGGGGGGTCCCCAAAGCAGAAAAACGCGAGGCCCCGAACTGGACTACGGGGCTCGTATGCTCACCGTATATCTCACAGACGATAATCGAATAGACATTTGATGCATACATACGTGAGCAAAATTTGATCGAACCCCGAGCATGTGTTTGGAGAGCCCGGAGGAGACTCGTTCGTCGGGCTGGGGCTCTTGAACTTGGGGAATCGTCTCCAGCACGAAAAAGACATCAGCCGATCACATGCGGCAGGGAATTCGAGCGCCATACCCAACGAACTATGCCGAGAATTATCTTTCCCTCTGAGGCATAATCCGGAAATGCGATGACACGGTCCCGACCGCGTTCCGCACCAAGAGCGGGCGAGAAATCGAGCCGACCGGACCATGGGGACTGTGCAACAAACTTTGCTGTACCTAATTATGGTTCTCCATCGATTTTTGCTTCACTGGGCGATTGAAATTAATTTCGACGAACTCATTCCAGTTCATATATCGACGTTGTGCGTCGGCGAGCGCACCTACCCACAGTACAAGGTCATTCATGGGGCCGTATTATCGTCAGAGAGCGAGAACGATCTGGACTGCGTAATCACGTTCCAGACAGATTCCATCCTGCAGAAGTTCATGTTGCGCTTCGAAAAACTAGCGCTCGACTGCAACGATCACCTAGTCATCTTCGACGGCGCCCACGCCATCGGCAAAAGCAAGGTTCGAAGTTTTCCAACCGCATCCTGAAACCGCCCGCAAATCTATTTGATTCCGATTCTCTAGGATCACTTCGTGCTGAAATCTTTTAATCCTCCGCTTTCTTCGCTCCTCCGGAGACGAATCCCAGGATTCGATCGCGTCGAGAAAATGATCGAACCTCGAAATCCATTGCAGGTGGATCTCTCGTGCCGAAGTACGCGGGCAGACGTAGGCACGATTTTCACACAGAGCAATTACGTGACGCTCAAGTACACAACCGATAGTTACAGTCAGCAGAAGAACGGATTCAAGCTCGTGATCACAGCTTACAAGGTGACTTGCATGAATTGACACCGATCGGAACTTCGTGGACGAACGCGGGCACCCGCGATGTAGCTGTCCCCACGAACATCTTCGACATTCCATTTTATGCGATCTGCAATCCCTTCCAGGACATGAACAACCCAAAGCATGAGCAGCTGCCTTGCCAGCAATTCACATGTGGGGGACCTCAGCGGTATTGCATATCGCAAGATCTCAAGTGTGACGGCGTCAATCACTGCGGTGATGACAGCGACGAAGACGAGCGAGCCCAATGTGAAGGTGAGAGAGCCTATCCTATCGACTGCATCAGGCGATTCTTCTCTCCACTCTCGGAGTGATATCCTACCACTCAAGCTCCGCAAACCCGCACTTTCCGATAGTATGATGATGATGATGATGATCGGGGTGTACTCAAAGGAATCTATTACCGCAGATGATAAAGGCAATCATCAGATCATGGGCATAGGCGTTCCGGTTTTCTTGACTCTGCTCTTGATCGCCTTCACATTCTGTCTGCTTTGCATCGCGGCCATTGTATGCTGCGTCTGCAGAAGGGGTCCTCAGGACTACACCCCGTCCCAGGTGAGGATATTGAACCTGACGCTCAGCGAGCTACTGATCATCGATTGGGTATCACCGACCGGATACCCGATGACAAACGGAGAAATACCATCGATAATAATTCATTGAAGAAGAGAAAATATTGATCACGATTATCCTAGCCTGAAACCTCAAGCTCGGTTGATATCGAGTATATCGATCGGAATGAGTTTCACTATCGGATCAGTCGTTGTTCAAATTTCGTCTATCCTCGTCTACAGCGCTGTTTGGAATCTTGCGTTGATCAAACTCATTTTCTTAGGTGGCGATGCAGAACGGAAGACCCCTTATCGGCGCACCAATGCCGCCCGGTCTGCAAAACACGACGATCACACCCTTCGGGACGTTCCCAGGCAAAGCGGTGGGTATTGGGGATCATCCAAGAAGTTTTAACATTTCGACTCTCTATCGGGTTCCTTCCCCCACCCCTCCCCACGGATTCATGCTTTCATTGAATTACACAGAACCGACTCGTGAGATATATGAGTTTCGGGGTATCCACTGATAGCATGCCCAGCTATGATGTCGAGCCCGAAAACGATCTCGGTTCCCTGATCCACATGCAGCGCAACTAAAAATGCCGATTCGGACCTATGAATTGTGGGGAAGAAATTATGACCGTGTTTTTCATTCTTGTCGTTCCAGCCAGGAGACGACCTGCTTGGTCTACAGCCGGGATCGCACTCGACTTTCCCCCTACGTGCTCCGCTGAATCCCAATGGCAAACCGGTCAACCAGTCCGCGTCCGGTGAAAACTGGCTCGTATGAGATTCACGTCTTGACTGGCACGCAAATTCCTCCCTATAGAGCTGGGTTCAGGCTGACAGAAAACGAGGATCTAACGGTGGAGCCAGATAGATGCAACTAGACCAAAGATAACTATATTTTCTCCCGTTTCTCAACTCGCACCATCGAGAATCTCGACGGTCTCGCGACCGAAGGTTCCTCGTGACGGCGACCAATTTCAAGAGAGTTTTTGTAACATGGGACCGCGTGAAGTGGTTCCATGTCTCTCGAAGCTCCTGGAATCAGCTTCACTTCCGGCGCCGGGTTCCCGGGTGTCGGTATCGGGGATCCCGATAGAAGCGCCCGGATCGGATTAGAAACCGAAAGCTTCGGTTCGCGCTTTCGGGGTACGAGTGGGGAGGTTCCGCTGTGAACCCTCCGACGTCGTCCGCTTCGAGCTCCCACTGTCGCAATTAACTGGTTGGATATCCATATCGGAACTTCATCCTGATCACGCAGATGTCGATCGCTGGTTCGCTAAGAGTCGGCAGCCGCAACATCACCACCAAAACATCAGTAAATGTCCCATCCCCTCTGGAATTTGCTCCCATTCTGTACAAAGTCGCTGAGAGACCTAGTCAAACTTTCTAATTGGAGAGATGCCTGCAGAAACACCTATACTTCAGACAAATGCAACCGTACCGATCTTTCATTGAATGGGCATTTTTTAGAGCCAAGCTCTCGCATTGAGCTGAAACTCTGGAAATTTCTGACGTTGGACCCACCAAGGAAATTTCGAGCTCGAGCCAATCAAATCGAGCGATATGGTGAGAATCAGAAGTTCCGATTCGTTGAAGAACAAGTTCCACAAAGGTTTCGGCAAAATGTTAGGCGCACTGCTCTGCCCATCACAGCCATCTATTTCTGTACATAAAATGTTTTATAAGTTGAACTATGAGTATCACATGGCAGACGACCGTATTTGATTTGTACATAAGCGACGTGAGAACCTCGGACACTATATCAGGGCTGCTGATGCCTGACGAATGGAGGTGGCGACAATAATAATTACAATTAGTTGAAGAATAGAATGAAATATGAATAACTTCTAGAAAATGCAATCCAAGCGAGCAGCCTTTTGAATGGCGCTCCAATGCTGGCTGAAAGAGATGAGCGACTCGCGGTGCAATTGAGCCTCTGGCTTCGCAGAATCCGCGAGGATTCAATCGCTCGGTTCTTCTGAGGGCGAAAGCTTCGCTTCCGAAATCCTCTGTCAATCTCCTCTAGTCTTTCCTCTCATGAGGAGCGGAGATCTCGCTGCACTGAGTCGAGCTCGATTTGAATTTTTATCTCAGCTGCTGAATACAGTCAACACATATCAACGCGGGTCTATCAGGGACCCACCCCAGCGAACAAAGTATTAAGAGTACTCGGGATTGTATGAAACGTCGGGCCAACGTGTTTGAGATTGCGCCCTGCGTGCGTCTGCTGAACTAAACCGAAGCTTTATGGTTGGGACTAATCTATGATTCAAATTGTATCATGAAAACTAGATGAATATTCAAAACACGGCTCAGACGAGACCATTGATGGGAGTCATCGATTTGAGACAAGTGAGCATACACAGAAATCGCATGTTGTGCATGACCGAACACCTGAACCCTCTCCAGTCGGCGAGCCACATACGCTCTAATGGGATGTATGAGGATGGGTGTGAGATGTCATCTAATGAGTCTGCCTCCTAATTGATTCGAGCCCGGCGAAACCCATTCGGGGTTGATCCCCAATTTTTTTCTGCAGACCAAAGGCGATCAGAACTCATCAGGAGTCTGGACGAGGTCCTCTAGAGTAGCACCTATAAGGTCGATAAGGAGTGAAATGAGGCCTCAGCTCTTCAACGAGCGAGCCCAGACGGGCTTTCCAGCATCCAGAACTTGATTTCTCACAAGGGTGGCTTGCAGAGAGCGTATGATTGTTCCGGAAGAACTCCCCATCGATGTATCAGGTCTTCGTCGAGGGGGGCGTCTCGGGAGGAGCCAATGGTCAATTCAGATACCCCATTCGGATCAACGAGCGAGGCAGTGAATGAAAAAATGAGCGGGGGTCACGGCTTGGGGTTCGGGTGACGAGTTCTCTCATGAGAGATTCCAACACTGTAAAATCTTAACCCTGTAAATGTGAGAGCGTCTGAGGAGCGATGGATTGGGCTTTTAATCGATGATATGACGGAAAGAGGATAAATTTGAATAAACGAAACGATACATGTTTTATTTGATAGACTTTGATAGACCTGCCGTCGAGAAGCGGACACCGAATACGGCAACCCGAAACAACTCCCAACAATTATTATCAAACACTTACATGTTCCGCGCTTAAGATTCTACCGCGTAGATGAGGCTCACATCCGTTTCCGACTTGAATATCGAATGCATTCCTGCTTGAGGTTTTCAAGGAAGCGCGTGGAGAAGCGCTCCGATGTATCGATACAACGCTTTTCTCAACACCGTCCCGGCGAATATCGTCAGCTCGAGCTGGGAGCCGGCGGATGAGATGGAGCAGACGTTGAGTTTGTAATTTGAACACCGTTGATGCGGCGCTGCCGCCAACTGCTAGGTGTTTATTATGCGATCGGTGAGTTTTGGGAAACGCAACGTGAAATAGAGCCAAGGGATATATAAGTTTTATGGGCGAGCAATGCTAATGACGGTAATAAGATAAGCACAGTAGGAGAGTCAGATTTCGAAATCTGATAAAAGTGCCGGAACAAGTGTCAGAGGGGAGAGAAAATTCTCAGGGAATCGATTCTCCAATCCATGCGAGCCTCGTTGATCATAGGTTTTCGGAGTGGGGGCGCCGACGATGGGGAAGGGGTGCGACGTATGCATCAGAAGAACTCCGTCGGCGATAGCTCGGGGTCTGGCCATAGGAAGAAGCCGGGAACCCCTCAGTGCTCCAGCCAACCTACTTCTATGAGGCTGACCTCACGATCTGCCGTGGGTTTTCCCCTCAGAAACTCTGGTTTTGATTCCAGTCGATCCCGCAGACCCCAGGTATTCGAATCCGCTTAAAATCGATCCATTCCGAGAGCCGAATCGGATGATATGCCATCGAGGGAGCCGACAAGTTTTCGGAGCCGAACCGTGAAAAAATTCGGGAACGCTCGTTGAAATCGAACTCCGACCCCGGTTCCCGTTGGCGATGGTGCTGCTCTAGCTGCTACAGAAGAACCTTTAACGAGGGAAGGCGTCGAACATGGGGCATTCCAGGTGCTGAGAGCGTTCGGAGAACTCGTTCGGTCGGTTGAAGGCCTCGTATCTAGCAGAGGGATCGACCTCCGAAGCAGCTCCGGGAGAGACTCTCGGCAGCCTGAAGACCGGCAGCCGGAGCCGAGGCGGAGAAGACGAGGAACTAAAATGACGAGAATCGATCTGAGCGAGTTTTCGGTGCCTTCATGGACCGCTCAACCGTGATTCAGTTTCCCGGCTGTCTCGTTCTCCGACATGAGATCCCTGGCCAAGACAGTTGGACTGCCGAGGCGACGTAGTGACTCATGAAGCGGAGTCGAAAAGGAGGCCCGCCTTCTAAGGAAAACATGGCCTACTCCGGAAAAAAAAACGGTGAAAAATAGACGTCTCCAGAACGTTATCCGGAAATGGGATACCCCGTGGAATCGAATCGAGCACGAAAAAATTCGACCTAGAAGTAAAGGCGGCGGAGAATGGGAGAAGGCAGATCGATGCGGAGCAAATGATTCGCAACGGAGCCGCAGCCACCGTTGATGCTTCACATTCCTCTAGATCCCCATACTTCTTAAGGTGGGGGCGAGCTCCCGTATGTGTGAGCGAGAGACGGATAGAAAGAGTCCGCGAGTGAGGAACTAGCGAGAGCGAGTTCGAAGAGGCTAGGAGCTTGGAGAATCGTCGTTGGAGAACATTTTGAGCCGGTGAAGACGAAGCGAGGGATCGCTGCTGGTTCGTTCCTGCTCGTTTCGACCGAAGAGGCCTCAGAACAACTTCCCCACGGTGAAAACCCCTGGTCGAGCAATTCTTCCCCGGTTCGGTCTTTGTTAGAGAGGCCTCTCCCCATAGGCGCACCAACCAGTCGGTCTTCAGCCATACAGCGCGGCTCAATCGGTCTACAGCCCGGCAGGCTGCATGCATGCACACCGAACCCCCTCGAACCGAATGCGCCTTCATCCCCTCGGACGGAGCTTCCCTCTCTCCTTCATGTGATCATCATCAGGCTGATGAAGAATCCAAGGTTGGTTGCGGGAAGAGCTCGGTGATAGCTCAGTGTGTCGTGGCCGCTCGCGGGCGATGTTCGACGATCGAGGAGCCATCGGGCGGGAGGTGCGCAGAGAGCCGAACTTCGGTTCAGCCGATATTCTCCGATCGGAGCCGAGAGCGCGGACTCTCAAATGGATTCCAACGACCCAAGCCTGGTGCCCACTCCACAGAACCAGATCTCCTTTCCCAGACGGCTTCGTGAAGTGACGCTCCCAACTCCCAGCGGCAGCCGCGGTGCTAGAAGTAGCAGCAGCAGCAGCACCACCACCACCACCGCCGGAGCAGCAACCAACGACAAGCAGCAGCAAGCAATTGCCGCCGCGGCGGCGACAGCAGCGGCTGCTGCTAGTACCCCTCACGCAGGGCTTCGGACTCTCCACCGTTCCGAGATTTAGTGGAGCTATGGGCATGGGCATCATAGCGCGTCCGTCGCTTAGAGTGGCGGGAATGTGCCGACAGCCAGAAGGCTGCTTCCCGATCTGTTGACTAGAGGAGCGGGAACGCTTCCCGATTGCCGTTGCGGTTTTGAAGGATTGTGCGGAGTTGAACCGGAAATTTCGAGTGCCGTGTGCGGGAAGGAGCGTTTTGAAACCCATGCTGGAATATCCGGATTACTTCGAGTGCTCCGTTACGGTCCCAAGCAACGGGAAAAGCTTTTTCCTGCTGCTCGTGCTGCCTGCCGTTGCACTCTTTGTTTACCCATGCCCATCGACCTAACATGGCATGAGTTGGCGTCATGGAGCCGAGCGCGGGAAATATGCGACGCCAGCGCTCAGGAACGGCAGGATGGTATCCTGTGTAGCGACTGCTCGTCGGATACCTGCTCGTCGCGTTCAGCCTTCCTAGCGGCTAGGCGGCCTGCCCGCTTGCCTGTTTGTCTGCCTGGCTGCCTTCGCCCTATCTTGTTCGTTCTACTGGCCGAAGGCGAAATGGCCTTCCCCTTCCGTGCGTACAACGGCAACGACGACGAACAACGCTTGGTTTGAGCCAGCGTTCCGGAAACGCTTCGGGATAACCAAGCAGACAGAGCCGCTGGAAGAATTCTACTTCATCCGGATCGTATTCATGTACAGTGTGCTTCGACAGCGGCGGCCCGAAATGGATAAGGACAGCTGCAATGGTGGCAAAGTATGTTGTGAGTGTAGTGAATCCATCTGCCCGGATCAGCAGGTGGTAGCGCATTCGAACGTCGGTTCCATCGTTACCACACTTCTCTGAGAGTGAAAGTGCCGGTCAAGGCTACTTCTTCCATTGGCGGCGAGTGCGGCTGCGGGAGCAGCAGCAGGCACCGCTGCATTTCAAACTCAAATCTGAGATTTATGCCGCACGGAATCGCGTCCGAGTTCGTCTGGAGAAGCTGTGAGGAGTTCCGCCTACAAGTGGCAGTGATTAATTCTGGTAGCGGATATTGTCGAGTGCGCGGCGGGGGTCGTGAGTGGCTCCCAAATTATTCGGAGTGACCTTCCACAAGGGACGCTGACTTATCCCGAAGTTTCCCGGGATCAATCCTCGATCCGCGGGGTTTGTGCCCGGCATCGGAGCTACGTGATCTACGTATGTAGATCGGACGGAATTCCCGAGTGAATACCATTTGTTGTGAGTGATCTGGATGAGAAGGACCGCGAAGCTTTCCGAACAATAGCGATGGAAAAGTTGTGTATTCTTCTTGTGCCCGCCGATATTCATCATCCTGACGGAGGATCATGTCCGGAATGGGAAGATTTCCGCGGTCTCTCACGGAACCGCAAGGACGAATACTCTGCGAACCGTAAAATGCCTGCGATCGGTTTTCCCACTAGTAAAAACCCTCCAAGGGTAGCTCCCAGTGAAGCAACAAGTTTCCAAGTCCGTCAGAAGCGCGATTGCTCCGGGACCGGTGGTGGCTACTGCATGGCTCCTTTTCCTGGAAGTTATTCTCCGTTGCGTTGGCCGAAACGGCCGTTGGTCGACCGACCCAGCTCGCTGGCTCGCTAGCCGGCTGGTTGTGTACTTTCCGCTGCTTTCTAGGACGGCTTCTTCTTCCACACGCCATACGGGGCAGCTCGCAACAATCATCGACGAAAAGGGGCATGAGCCCGGTGCCGACGGCTCCAAAGCTGCCCGCAGAAGACGTTGGAAAATCAAATTCAACTTATGTTCCTCTTTTCGAACAGTTGCTCGCTGGATCGTTTCCATCATCTGTCCATTTGTCCTTAGGGAACGGCGTCGGGTACATACGACGCGACGCGCGCTCGTGTGTATCGCAGCCTCACAGCTGCCTCTCATAATGTTGATGATGATAAACCTTGGGCGACATTCACTGAATATGTCGCTAATGCTACGGCGTTTGTTTGTGAAACGATTGGCAGACACTGTTCTGGAAACCGCTAACATCGACGTATTCTTACAGAGACGCCGAACCGCGCAGACCGCAACATCCTCCTTGCGGAAGTTCTTGAGAATGTCTAAGCATGTTTTCCCAACGATACCCTCGGCTCTTCCGAGCCGCGTTCGCCATGACCGTGACCGAAGTGTCTTTCTGACGGTCAGGAGGGCGTCCCAAGGCATCGCTCTGAATAAAAATCCTCGAACGCCGGATCGTCCTCTCTGCACGCTCTAAGCTATCTCTTGCCTGCATCAAAAGCGCTCGACTAGCGTCTCGTCGAGACGCAGTTTTTCTCCATATGCAATCGATGCCGGTGCGGATGTTTCTTCCCACCGCATGTGACATCCGCTTTCGGTGCTCGCGGAAATCTCGTCAGACGGAGAGGCTGACTCCTTGGCTTTCCAGGGAAAATCTTGGCCACCATCATGCCCACGTCAAACGTCATACCAGCGTCGCCTTGCCTGTCTACCCCGGAACGGGTCGATACTCCCCCCGGCTACCCAGCGGGCCTCATTCATCCCGACTTGATAAGACAGTTCTTAGATCCCATGAGAAATGAATTCACCTGTCCCTTGTGCATGTGGACAACTTCAGACGAAGAGGAGGTGCAAGGACACGTCGCCTCGCATACCATGGATCCCTGCAAAAGCAGCGAATCGAAGAGGTGAGTGTGACATATCCGCTCGATTAGAATGAGGCAGCGGGCGAAAACGTCCGACGCGATTCCGTGTATTGAGCGATTCCTCCGGATGGGGACGACGTCTCCTTCTGCTCGTTGACGGAGCGTGGAGAATGCGATCGGAGATCTCGCAGTCGGATCTTGGATTGAACGTATCGCGCAGAAGCATGCCAGAATGATATTCAGAAAGTTCTGCTGGATGAGTCCCTCAGGACGTTCCCGTTATCGTTCTTTAGTCAGTCAATAGATAGATTCGATAAGAAAGGACCGCCGAGGACTACACGGTTCGGCTCCGATCGGTTTGCACAACGAGCTACGTCGTCGTCTGTTCTTCAAGAACTGTTAACGATTAGCAGCTTGTAGTATCTGTTGCTGTTGCAGCAGTAATCGCGAGCTGGCAATACGGCGTATCGGCGACTCCGCTCGAACGCATTTGCTCAGTCGACTAGAAATGAATTTATTGAAAAGTTTCTTAGAGAGCTTTTTTATTTGACGCGGCTCGCTGGATAGCTTATTTTCATGTATCGCTTTCCCTCTTTATTTCGCTATAAAAGCCACGTCTCCGGAACGATCACGACCGGTGGCTTCCGACTTTTAATGCGGTGCGAAACAATCGTCCGGCTTGAGATTTTGATCCGAAAGAGTTTTTCAATGGAATTCAAGCGGAACTCCCGAGCCATCGTTGATTTATAGAATTCGCTGATTAACGGCTGACTTCGACCGCGGCTCAGTATTTCCTCCTTGTACCGTTGGGAGGAACTATCTCCTCAAGCGTCGAACATGATTATAGTAGCATCAATCAGCGAAGATGTGGACTGCGGGAGGAATTGAGTTTCGGGAGATCCCAGCGCGAGCTGAAACCTCGCTCGGAGCTTGGGGCTTCCATCGGGAGTATCCCGGAGCCAGTAATTCGATCCGACTGAAAAAAAATTTCTTCGACGGACATGCGAGGCTCATCCAGGAGCTGCGGGGTCGCCCGCTGCGACGATGACTGGGGAAAATTCGGACTATAATGCTGAAGGGAGCTATTCAACGGTCTGATCATATAGATAACCGTGAGTGAACAAGTCAGTTCGTCCATCGTTTGAAAAGTCAGCGAGGGCAAGACCGCGCGCGAAAGACCACTCGTTCGTCCGTTAGCTTGCCCGTTCGTCCATCCGCCCGCCCGCCCGCCTCTCCGCCGTCCGGCTGCTGTTCCAGGGCCGTCGTGCCACGAGCTTGTCGGACACTTGGAAAGGCTTCCAGCAGCTGCAGCAGTCGACGAGCCATCTATCTGTCGTACTATGTGACTGTTCGCTTTTCTATCTATATATCTATCTACCAAGCAAGCAACTACACAACGTTGCTGCCGACGCGCCACACTGTTCCGCCTCGGAGCGGATAGCCGCTACGTAAAGAAAGAAACCCACCGCTCCTGTCGTCGACGACGACCGCCAACCACCGAGTTGTTCTTCTTCTCTTTTCCCGACAACGACGGCGGCGGCAGCGGCAAAGACGACTAGGGCTGTAACTGAAGGAGCTCCGGTCGTTTGTCGGTACCGTAGTAGATGGGGCTTCAGCGCCGGACGAGCGTTCGCGCCGGAGGAATTATATAAGTTGGATCGGGATTTCCTTCTCTGCTCCTCGTCCGAGAAGTGTCATAATAATTCTACAAGAATTATCTGCATTTGAATGGAAGCCGTCATCAAAGGAGAAACGGATCTTCGTCGCGGCAACGGAATCGTCGCAACGGTCTTCGTCGCTGCTGGTGCCCCTTATCGCACCCGTGAATGTCGTTATCAGTATTGAGTAACGGTACTCTTTTCGGCTTAATCTTGTTTTATGGACATTTTACGGGCAAACGCTGCAAACACGAGCTTCTAACTGTAAACAAATCCCGTATCAATGCCATCCGGTGGCATCGTCGTCGTTGACTTCATTGGTAAGCTGACGTTCTGCGGCTTTTGTTTCTCCCGGCCTGAACACGGACGTTCATCGGTTGCCCGATTTTGTGTGAGTGGGCCCGACCGTTGAATTGGATTCTCTGACCGTGTTTGCTCGCCGTTGTTGTTCGGATATACCGGTGTTTTTTGCTCGCTTCGTGCGGTTCGTCTATGGCCACGCGGCGGCGGCGGCGGCAAAGACGGGTAAGACGATGAAAGTGAAACGAAGGCCACCGTTCAGTCAAATAATGGTTTGCCGCTTGGGATGGAGTAGCGGCGGCAGCAGCAGCAGCAACTTCTGCTTTTCGTCGCCGCTACCGCCGCCGCTGCAGCGGCCCTCTTGTCTGTCTGTTGCCTATCTGGCCAACGAATCTAGTGAAAGGTTCCGACATTGCGGGGTGGAAACGCCGTTCTTCGCTCGCATACTATGTGACGGGCAACTGACGGCCAGGCAAAATGATGCCTGGAGCCGAAATTCCGCTGAAGGCGAATCGCTGTCTCCGCGGCGGCAAGATATCGATGTTGTCGATTTAAGAGCGGCAACCGCTGACGAGCACCGAGGAGAACTTCCACTCACTCACTCACTCTCTCACTCATCGCGGATTGATTGACTGTTGGACGGACTGACTGACTGACTGACTCCCTGACTGACTGACTCATAAGTAGGCCGAAAACCGGATTCATCTTACGTCTCCCTCGTTGTTGCCGTTATTGTTCATACGGCTTTTGTTCGCATCACTTCTTCCTTTTCGAAATATAATTGTCGGCGTAGTTCACTGCAACGTAGATAGACAGCGATATCAATGCGGAATTCCGCACACGTTCCGAAAGCCTTTGCCGCACGGCGGAAGCTGCCAGTGGACTGCCGAGAGTGAATCAGTCGACTGATCTCTGGAAAACCGCCGGAGGAGGAGAACTCGTATCCGAGACTCTATGCAGCATGATTTCATGATCCATTAGTCATCTTCAGAAGCGCGAGAATAGAGCAGGGTTGAATTTCCTCTCGAGAATTATCCCCGCCGAGAATCAGGTGATGCTCTGAGTGGATAGGCGGAGCACTTACTCCGCGCAGTGGAGGCTGGATTCTCTCCACGGTCTCGATCCGGAATTGGAACTGCTCCATTTAGCGTCCGATTACAGTAGATCGTCGCGTACTTATTCGCGCGGAACTCCTTTCCAATATCACGCGGAAACGATTGCGACTCCTTAATCTTATAGTGTCTTCCCCAGATACCGTTGCCGCTTCTGTCCCTTCGCTTCGAAGCAGAAAGGAAACCTGCTCCGTCACGAAAGAATTCATACAGGAGAAAAACCTTACAGCTGCGACCTTTGCGATTACAAGAGTCATCGCGGAGATAAGGTTACTGCCCACAAACTCACCACTCACAAGGTTTGTCGTTCGTTTACTCGCTGACTTTTTCGGTTGTGGGACGCCATTTTAACTGCCCGAGAGTCTATATAAAGTATTCAGTCGACGTCAAAGCATCTAGCGATGCTCCCAAACATCGCGGTTTGAAGCGTAAACGATCTATTTATGGAACGCATCAATTAATCACGGTGACTTCTGCTGGAACCGTTGTCTTGTTGAAGCGACTTTCCAAGCATGTCGAAACAGACACGAGCCGGGGCGCGTGATGTGAAAATATTATTTCCACGCGGAGCGTCATTCATCATAGACACCTGGGCAGCGACTCCGGAGAATGTGGGAACGCTCGAGCCTTATTACCGTCGGAGCGCTCGCGGAGATTTCGGCGTGATGTTCCCAGATCATAGTTCCCCGATCGTTGTACTAAAGCTGGTTCTTCTCCAGGTGGCCTCAGCCCCCGGTCTGCCGGGTTCACCATTGGGTGGACCGTTGAATCTTTTGGCCATCGCAAACTTCTCAGCGAACAACAATGACCAAAACGACTCGAATCACCATCATAACCAATCATCCCCTGCCATAATCTAAGACAGTCACTGGTGAGACACAACTTAACCAACGAACCAACCAACGACCCTATGTGATGGGACATAGACATTCCAACCACGGTACACAAGAAGCTTTAAGCCGTGGATTTAAGCAGCATTCCAAGCGATTTTCCATTGAATGATAGTTATGACATATAATGTGAGACAATCAAACCGTACGTTCGACCGACCGCCTCGAACCTTTTCCATTCTCTAGTTCAGCGAAGAAGCCGAGCAAGCCATAACGAAACGTTTTGTGACCCCTCCTTCCTCTCGGTTTCCCAATCGATCAGCTACCGATCTATAAGACCGGTGTTCATCGCAATCATTTCCAAACAAAACTCAAAGACCTGACCTCTAAATTCATAATCAGGAACGAGACTTTCAACTCCCCCGTAGAACCCCTATTTTTACATGTACCCTCTGTATATAAGCCCATACCCTAACCTTGATCCTAATAATACATGAAAATCGACAGTGTGTCTGCTCTTTCGTTTGCTTGTGTGCATGCTTGTGCTTATTGTGTTCTTGAGCCAGTCATCGGATTTCTATGTTTCGGCGAATTTCATGCCCTGCCATCGGGAAGTTTTCCGGCCTGGAAGACTGTGCTGGCACGCTTCGGATGTGCCTGATTCTGTTCTCCCTTTCGTGGAAAATCGTGCTGTCTATCTGGGCGACTGCTCTCCCACTAACAGTGAAGTTTGAATGTACCGAATAAGCTCTGGACTCGCACGCCGTTGAATGGGATGAGAAAACATCTGCGAAGTGACGGGGATAGCGAGGTCGGACTCCGTGAATTCCATGAGGAGCTTAAGCCGTGGATGAATGAGGGTTCAATTGGCCGCGTCGACCGGTGCGCTGGGTCGCAGAAATCATCTGCGAATACGCTCATCGCGTCCGAGCGATCACCAGCGGCCGCGAGCTTGGGCAGCTCTCGCGGGGAACGAGTCTCGAACATCCTATGATATCTCGAGGCGGGATGTGTTGCGAAAAAGCAAAATGCTCTCCCTCGTAGCTCGAGTTGATCGGATTCGGGACTTCGGAATTCGAGTCGGGAGCTCTCCGCGTCCACGGCTCTCACTTTCGTTCCGAGGAAGACGCCGGGCGTTCAGAAGCGGACTCGTTACGGCCCTGTCGGGTCTGGAATATGAATGAATCTATGAGTGATATTGGAGAGATGCAACAGGGCGGGGGATCCCTTGAGGCGACGAGCTGAATTATCGGGATTTTCCTCGTCGTGAATGTTGGCCAGTCTTCGCCCTACAATGTTGCCGCTTCTCCAAGTCTCGATCACTGGGCTCTTCCCGCTGCATTCATTCCCTTTTCCCCTCCCTCTCCCGCCGCGGTGCCTGTGAAGTCCTGCGTATATCTAGAATTCATCGGGAATGCTCGGCCGACTTATCGAGCTGTGACCTCTCGATGACGATGATGTTCAAGTCCGCCTTGAGGTAGCTAGCTGCTCGTCAGATCCATGATCAGAAATCAGAATCTGTGAAGGGACATTCAAAGAGTCAATGTATGAGAGACCTTAAATACCTTAAAATTCTATCACACATGCAAGTACATGACCACGTGGAAGCGATGCTTAGCTGTGAGTGCGTGTATGAATAATGAGCGGCATGAGCCGAAACCAATGAATATTATTCCTCCGGAGCAGCAGGAGTTTTTGACCACTGGCATTGAATAATCTGTATCCCGTGACGTTGAAAAGGTTCTGCCCGTATTGCAGGTCGACTTGCCCACAACTCGAATGATTTACAGTTAGTTTGATCTTTGCATTACAAATTGGATTCCACAATCTCGAGGGGGCGATATGAATGAGCTTTGGTCGAGATTTGTTCTCTGAGTTCGAGTAATTCATTTACTTTGCATCGATTCCGGAAGAACAAATCTCCTGTCATCCCTGGCTCGCGGTTTCTAGACCCACATTCCATGTTCAGTGTTTCTGCTGTGGGGCTTCCAGCCCGAATCTGGAGAATCCAACTGCCACTATACATCTGTTAGATGCCTTAGATACTATGGACGGATTGAAATACTGTAAGGAACGCCGATCGGTTTGAATTAAGAATCGCGTCTTGTATGTTCTCAGTGCGAACCTTTGCGATGACGATGCAGAAGATTATAGAATGAAGCACGGCGGATGTTATCGATTCGGAGCGACATGATTCCGTGCTCTGTACATTATCCTCATTAAAAACCACCACCGAACATATGAATGTCTTCCCCGCTAGCAGGGAAAGCATTAGGATCGGGGAGATGTGATCTGGCTCTCTCGATGAAAAATTGCTAACGACGGGTTGTGTGAATTGGTTGTGCTTGACGATATGTCGATGACGCTGAAAACGCGGTATGATAATGAAACATATGTTGTGCCTCGGATGAGCATTTATTTTCGACGAGATAGGTATTTCCAATGTTGACCAAACTGCGTAGAACGAGCTCCCCGAATTTCTCCCACCGGGTATCTAGGTAATCTGCCGCTTCACTGTTTAAAACCATATCTGATGTCAGGTAAGCACTGAATGAATAAATTCTGGAAACGATGCGCTGTCTCTTTTCGTTCTTCGTATTCACCGCATGTTGTGCGAATGAATTTGACGACTACATATTTCTGAGCGGTGGCAGACTCTGTCTGACCCCGCGAGGTCCCTATAGCAGTCGAGACTCGAGAGAGCTTCGCTTTTCATGACCTATGAATCGCCGATCTTCTCGGTTCTGCTGTGAGGGCTGATCTTCATCCTTCGCCAGATGTCGCAGAGAATAGTGGTAGAAGCATCTTGATGCAGACTTTCCTCAGGAAAGAGCTAACCCTCGAAGCCCCAGGTATATTTCCCGAGAATCCGGGTTATTTTCTCCAGGTGGTTCCACATGAGTCGAAGGAGTCGAGGTTCTCACGGATCCCGTCGCGGCTTCCTCTGACTGAGATAGGTCGGAAGTGGATGGGTTGAGCCTGTGAAGGCTCTGCGAAATCGAAAAAGAAGTATGCGCGTGTATCGCCAACGTCAGCAAACGAGCACAGATTCCGCGATGGAGGCTCCCTCGAGTATTCACAATCGAGATGTTTCCACCAGGCCTCTCGACACTCCCCGCAATCTTCCATTGCTGTCTTTTTTTGGGTCAGGCGATGGCGCTGCTAGGGACGAGGTTCTTCACTCGTGACTATCTCTGTTATCCACGTCCATTCAATGCTCATGATGATCAACAGTGGACCTCGGTAGGAAAACCTGGAGTCAACACATCGGAACTCCTCCGGAGATTGCCGAAGAATGATCCGCCCGAGGCTCTGAATCATGAAGGCCGCGTTCAGCTCTACTTTTCGGAGAAGTTCCGCCACTCGCTTATCGCAACTGGATCGGGCACTAAACTGAGTGTGGGATCACCGAGATCAGGGAAAGAGTCCTTCTAGCGGCAATCCACCGGCCTGTTCTGCCTTCTCTGCCTGTATTCAGAGCTGATTCCGGTGTAAATAGGTGCCTTTTGCCTGCCTCTTCCTCGATCTCTCAGTGCCTTAACTTCGCAGCTCTAGATCACTTCATCACTCGTTACGATTCGTAAGATTGGAAATGGGTTTCGAATGCAGCCGCTACACTCTCCTCGAGAAATTATTCCGGTTCCGAAGATGCGGTGACACCCTCATTCAAAGCTTCCTTAAGTGGGTGACACGCGTCAGACCTACACCTGTGAGATGATGGATTCAACCGGGGAAACGATCGAAACCGATGGATCTTCTCTCATAGAGCAGCGATGTTTTATTCAGAGGCAACGCGTGTGTCGCATTCTCGCCAGACATACCATAGAGCTGCTCTTCAACGATTTAAGCAGATAATTAATTTGAGAGCGGTCATAAATCATGATTAGGGCTGGGTATATTTCGTGGTGCTCGCAGAATTACCGGGAACCGCGATTTCCTTCACTTCCTGGCGATCTCCGTGAATTCAGTAGCTTCCCAACACACGGATATGATCATTCATTGACTGAGTTTCCTCGAGGATAGACAGATGAGACAACACCCCGGCCTCGCTATCGACTCCAGGGACGCCGCCGAAGTCGTAGCAGCTCTGATTCTCAATTCTCCGAGACCTTACTGGCACGTACTTTGAAAATGAAGACTCGAGACTCCTGGGAGGCAGACCTGTTCCCCGCGGATTTCGATGAAATACGGCGATTTCCGAGAACCCCGACCGGGTTTCGCGCTTTCTGCGGTTTCAAGCCGTCGTCGCGAATGATCCGCTCTAGCGTCTTTTCCGCGAGAAATATCATGCCCCAATCGGGATATGAATGTTACCTAGATATTCCACGGAGTTTCAGTCAGCTCGCCGTCCATGTGAATCTTCGAGGGCGGATGCGACGATCAATGATCCTATTCCTTTTCTTAATGCTTCCGGAGTGATGGGAGTTCTCCATTACCCATCGTTCGCATTCCCCATGTTCCTCGAAGAGCTATCAGAAATACCGCACTCCTGGAGTAGGCACCGGATTCGCAGGAGTCCCGAATAGCGACAGGTCGCCCACTAATGCTCTAAGGGAAGATCGATTTGTGAACGAATTGAATCCAGACAACGAGACGCTTTTCGCGAAATTCGCGTCCAACTAAAGCCATAATATTCGATCGGGGAAGGCTTCATCGGAAAAGTACAGCGAGTATAGAGGGGAGTAATTGCTCGGACCTTATGAACTTTGTCGTTCACTGAGAGGTCATTGGCATCCTCTCCGGGCTGCCCATCTCGCCATTGAGCTCCGCTCACAAAGCTCTCTCATTAAGGAATCCTTCAATCTGGACGTCTCTTCGATTTTCGGAGCGGACGTCATCCATATGATGTCACAATTCGTGAATTATGTTGCTATAGCACCGCCTCGACAAACGCGATCATTCGCTGATAAGCACGCTGTTCATCCTATCACCTCGTGAGCTACTTTATCAGGGGACGATAAACATTATTTCGCCTGATAAAATCGGAGCACCGCAATCAAGGGCTAGGCGGGAGAGTGGTAATTTGTATTTTGATCACCTGGCTTTCGCTAGAAGAGATACATTCATATGACATGCTCGACTCTCATTTTATCGTCCATTCGTGACGTTCAGGATCAGATACAGCTAATTGTGAGTTGTCGACGAGACCACATCGGAGGAAGGAAGTGAGAGGGTCCGGATCAGTTGCGGATTTCAATGTTCAGAATGTGGGGGGTTCC